TGTCTTTACTGCTGTTTAACCCTAACTCTTTAAACCCTGTTCACACCACAATTCTTTTCATTGAAACTTTTCTTAAACTTTCTGTCTTCCCCAAACTTCAGCTTTGTAGCGTTCTCTTTAGCATGATGTTAGCGGGTCAACTCTCATTTTACTTTTTAACAAGCCAAAACAGAAAAACAACATTCAAAACCGGAGATACATAAATATATAGAGTATTTGGTAGACTACAGAACTTTCTTGGCTGTGTCTCCTGTGATATTTTTGCAAGTTTTAAGGGGAAAAAATGAGAAAAACTGAAAGTGAGTTTGACAGGAAGAAGACAGGATGTGAGAAAAACACTGCACTGTAAAAATGAAAATGAATTTTACACCAAATATTCAAGACCCACTATGTACGTTGTCAGGTAAGATTGATTTGCCTGTAATGTTCCACAGTATGGCATTCAGTGACATCATGGGAAGTTAGGGTTAGGGTTAGGAGAAATGTTCAGCAGTTTCCATGGTGACACAATGTACATAAAACAGTTTAAAACTGTCTGAAAAAGTAAGATAAAATACAAAGTGGTTTTAAACAACACATTTTCAGGAGTTATCAATATGAGAGTCCTGTTTAGGTGTTTGATTTTCAACAAACTAACTGAAAACTAACTTGTGGCTATAATTGGGCCCAGTCAAGCAGAAGTAAACATCAAGGCCAAAAATTCAAGTTAATGCATCTGATATAAAAATGTATTGAACAGATACATATGTACTCTAGTTTATGAAACTGTTGACCTTTTTTCTGTACCATTTTTGGTTCTAAAGTTCCATATGTTTTAAACAGACCATGTATGAAACATGGAACAAAAATTATTTCCCAAATTTCAAAGACCTGCAAATCATGTAAATAAATTTATATATTTCATCATATCTTGTGTTATTCCATCTTTGAACTGTTGATGAAGGTACATGATTTAAAAAAAAAAAAAAAAAGTATTTAAAATGATAAAAATGTTCTTGGAAGGACTGACATATTTTATAGAAATAGTTTCCTTTCATTTTGAAGTAATATTAAAGTATTCAGAAGAAAAAAGCGACAAATGACGTAAAATCCTGCACCTTTTACTTGTTTGCACAATTTTCCCTCCGTTACTTTTCCCTCCGTTACCATGACCTTTCTTCATAAAAAATCTCATGAGTCAAAAAGTAAGAGGTTTTTCAACCTAATCTTGTACCATATGGTAGAAAACTATATGAAGCAAATATTCAAACCAGTTTGTTAAGGATATGGAAGTGAGAACCAAGAGTTATCACTGTTTGGATTTATTGCCCAAAAAGTGCTGCATATTTCATTCCCTCTGTTACTGACATGAGTTTTAAAATTTTTTGTCAACAATTTGAAAGAATATCACAGGTTTAACTTGACCCTGTTGGAGTGTAACTCTTTCCTACATTCTGATACTTTACTTATTTCAATAGTCCCTCTAGTTTCTGAATAAGAGACATTTGAATGTCAAAAATCTGCCCCTGTTTCCCTCCGTTACCACTTGACTGGACCCAATTGTCACAGACTTGTTTAAATGCACAAATCATCAGTCACAGAGCTTCAGACAGAGTAGCACTTTCAGTTACCTGAAAAAAATATATATTAAAATTTGGAAATAGACCTATGTTTTGACTTGATATAGGCTGCATTTACACATAGCTGGGTATATTGAGAAATATTTCCCTTTCTCCATTTTCCAAAATAACATCGTGCACATAGCATTGTTTTCAAAAAAGTTTTCGTTTACATCAGCTCACATAAATACACCATTGAGCGCCGTCATAACTACGCCAAGCCTCTGGGCGGCACCTGGATTAGATTCAAACCTGTAGCATTTATTTCACTACAGTTTTAAATATTACTCAAAAATACCTTGAAAAACGTGCATTACTGAGCGGGCTCGCCTCTCCACAGATCTGTTAAAGAAGTGGCAAAATGGTTGACCTCCGAGCGCTCATTCGTCTCTGGTCATGGATACGATACATCAGCTGTGTCTCCAGATGCAAACACATCAAAAGTGTTTGCACCAGAAGAAATGCCACTGCTACTCATCATCATAGCAAAATGTAAACACTGATCGTACTTTTGGTGCGTCAGCTCCTAAAAGTCCATTTATCTCACTTTGCACGCAAACGCCAAACCCTGGTTTTCCAGAATCTCCACTCTAGCCCAGGTTTTTAGAAAGTACTGAAACCACTCAAACCATGGTTATGGCGACTTAACTTCAGCAACAGGAGATTGTTTATGGGAGGTCCGTTCAACATTCTTTAACTTCCTTTTCTGGTCAGTTTTGCAAGACCAACTTCCATCCAGGACCTTCATTTATTGTTATTTATTATCATTTGCTCAGTCAGTCCTGACCTCTGGGTCTCACATCTGCACTTTTTGGCACAAACACATCGTTTCTGTGGAGCAGCGAGACTGAACTCTGGCCTCATCCCACAATATAAAAGAGGAGAGCTAGTCCAACTTCCACCTTCTCTAAGAGACACGCAGACACACCGCTCCAGACGAGGTAAGGACATGTTCAAGTCTTTCTACGGACTAAACACTGTCTTTGTTTCATTTTTAAAGGCGCTGTACCAGATTTTTACTGTTTTAAAAATGTGGAAAACAAAATTAGTTCTTTTTTTTTTTTTTTTTTTTTTTTTTTTTTTACAGTTTGCAGCTGTGGTTTAGGATCATCTGTCTAAATTTCCAGAGGGGACACCAGAGTTTGCTGTGACATAAAGTTAGTAACAGCTAGCGGGCTAACTGTGCACCTCCTGATTATTGCACAATAAAATGCTTTATAATTAGATGCAGCCAGAACACAGTGGATATATTTTGACCTCAAGATCTGCTTCAGTAACAACACCACAACAATGGAACATGATACATATATTTATTAATGATGGATAAATGTGACGGCTGGGAGGAGGCTCTGGATGGGGGCTCTGTCTCAGGTGGTCAGCCCAGCCAATTCAGGACCCCCCTCCCTTGGAGATGATGTCTTCAGGCTGAAGGATGAACAAGAGAAATGGTTTGGGAAGGTTGAGAGAGCAGAAACAGACGGTGTTGTTGGGATAGGCCTGTGTAAATAGAACTTTTGGGTAACTGAAGTTGTGGTTCACTGGAGAGGAGCAGGAGGAGGTAGAGTCATGGTCCTGCTCCTCAGTCAGTCAACTCCACTTAGAAAAAAAAAAAAATCAGTGCTAAACTGTCTCATGCCAGACTGATACAGTATGTGAAGCACTCCCACTATCAAACTGGGAAGAAAGAGATCAGAAACATGGAACATCATGACGACTATCTGAATCTTGGTCAAAGCGTCTCAACAGAGGAACAAGATGAAAAATCTACTTTCTGTTACATCCAGTTGAGAGAAAAGCACAAATGCACAAAGCTCTCACTTTCTGCACGTTTTTGACAAACTCAATATTCTGTATTGATGCTAAAATAGTCTGAAGTACATCTGCCAGCGTCACCATGTTTGTTTTGGGTCATTTGGGCACTTCACCTTTGGCTTCTGCACAAACGTCAATGCTGCGATGTGATTGCGCCACCCGCCCACTTATCTGTACAGCGGGTGCAAGATGGATTCTCATGAGTTTGTGAACTCAAAAATATCATGAGAATCCATCTTGCTGTGCAGGGTTATATCTGCACTGGGGCAAGATAAATTTGGAAAAAAAAATTTACACCTTTCTTTTCTTCACCCTGAAATAGATGAAGTCTTTGATTTTGCTTGTGATGCTGGTCTCCAGTGCAGCCACCGTTCAAGGTAAAATGTTTACATAATTAAACAAGAAAAATGACATGGAGCCCCTTTAAATTTGTATCTAACACTGTCACTGAGGAGTTGCCACTCCCCATCCCATTTCTAATTATTAGATATTTGTTCAGTGTGCAGAATTTTGGGAACTGTTATTTTTGTCAAGACGTTTAAAGGTGCTCTATGTAACATTTCTGGTGGACAGTCCATCATTTGCTTTTTCTCCATGAAGATAAAATTTGGCTTTGTACTTATCACTTTAGTATTTATTCAATGCTGCATGTTTTTATAACTCAGAAATGCCTTGAAGAACAAGTATTCTACTGTCAGTGGGGTTGCCTTTCCACAGATCTGGCATGTAACTTTACAAAGTTTATTTAAAACGACCATAGAAAGAACTGACTGATGACTACAGCGGATGAGGTGAGATGAGGAAGTCCCTCTCAAATCACATTGAGTCAAAAGGGAGTTTTTCAGTTAGTCACTGTCACTTTCTGTTAACTCAGGACTATCAGTGCTTGTATTGATCACAGGCTCCTGAAATATTTTTCAGACTATTTAAAACTTGTTTGGTTGTGTTTGCTAATGTATGCTTCGTGTCACCATAACTAATGATGAATGATGAGCATTCCATCATAGACATACATGTAGAACACCTCCAGAGTGTGTCACTGCAATGTAGTAGTACAAATACACAACAACTATAGTACAATATTAAAGTTAACAAAGCTACTACACAAGATGGTCTAGTCTATGAATTAAAAGTCTGTTGTCAGGTTTAAACTCCTCCACAGTTTAGGAGTCCCCAGTGACAAGGCCACACCTCCTCTGGACATGAGCCTGGACTTGGGAACAAGCAGGAGGAGCTGATGTGCAGATGTAAGAGTCTCTGAGGAGAGGAGGGCTGCACGTCACACTGAAGCCAATAAAGTCAAACACTGTATCTAGAAAACTGACTTTAAACCATGTTAGAATGTTGTTACCTCCTCAAAACAGACCTGGAGTTGCTCACACATGTTTGAGCAACACTTAGTCTGTCTGCATCTCAAAGCTCAAAATGCTCTGTTCCACAAGTTTTTGTTTTTGTTTTTGTTGTTTTTGTTGTTGTTTTTTTTCAGTAGGGGTTAGCAGTTCTATTGCTGAAATGATCCAAATGATTCTAGTGAAGATGTATACAGTTTAAAACCCAATTGAGCATTTCCTGTTTTACCACATGACATCACAAGGTAGAATAGAGGGTTTTCTGTTTGAGAGAAGAAGTCAGCCTAAATATGTGTGTTAAACATGTGTGAATGAAACAAAACACAACTCCAGATGCGTTTTTGATGAGTAAACATTATAACATAGTTCAGAAAATAGCATAATATGAGTCCTTTAAAAACATTCAGTAAGATTTTGAAATGTAATTGGGAGCTAGTGCAAAAAACTGTCAAAAAACAGCAGTGGAAAGAGAGAGTTTTGCTCCAGACCAACGCACAGTTTATTGCAATAATCCAACCGAGATGTGATAAAACAATGGATGCTCTTTCAAACTTATTTTGTGGGTGGTACTTTTTAATTTTGGCAAGAAGCCTGAGTTGGAAGTAATGTATGAAATAGCAAACCTTTACAAGTGAATCTTTCATATTTCAAGAAAATCTCAATTTCACTTTGCCTGCTGCTGTGGGAAGTGAAAAATTTGCTTTCGCTAAATGAGAAAGACTGCAGTACATGTGCGCCTCTCCTCTCCATCATTTCAGTGAACATGTTGTGAGTGCAGGGAGGTTCTTTTGTGTACATTTCTGTCTCTTGCTCCATTAGTCTGTTGGACACATGTGGCTCAGTGCAAGTGAAACGGTCACAAAAGAGGTCCTCAAGTGCTGTCCTCTTTGCAGGAGGTGGCTCCAGTCCAGTCCCTTTAAGATGTTGTGTTTGTCTTTTATGGGTTTGCTTTTATTTCACTCAGACTGGCAAAGTTTAAATGAGCATATATACCCTGTGTTACTGCTAATACCTTTTGTTGTTTTTCATGTTATCTTTATATGTGCAGCACATTGGAAACTGTTTTGCTATAGAAATAAAGCAGATTTGGATTTAAGACCTCAACATATTAAAGGGCCCATCTCATGCAAAGTCAACTTTTCAGAGGTTTCTACCTTCTAAGAGTGATGTGTGGGCCTTGTATATGTCACCGAAGTGGTTTTTAGATTGATAGAGGCGTATTTCTGCCACCCTCCCACGTGACAACGAAAGAAAGCTGCTACAACGATGACATGGCCAGCTACACCTATATTGCATTTGACGTAGCAGAAAGCTTCACATCCGCCCCCCTCCCCTGCCTCCACCCCACATCAGCTGACATTTCCCACATGAACACCTAAACAAAAGCGACATTATGAGCTCATTGTTCTACACTGCAGTGAACACGATATAATAAGTTTATGTACTAGTGTTTATTAATACTTTACCAATGAGTAATGTTCAGATAATGCCGACACGGTGCTTGTGCTTCGTGCACGTCAAAGTCCTCATCTGATTCTGGGTCCAACACATGCGGCTGAACGCGCTGTATCTCCATGATGAATAAAAGTTTATTCCTACCACTATCAGGGCGCACGTCTGTCTCCCCCTCCCTCCCTGAGATGGGTGGAGGGCGGAGCCTGTGCTTTCTCAGGACGGCGGGGGGTTGAGCAATAGCCGTCCTTTCATAGTCCCTGGTCTGTGACTGCCTCCAAGAAATCAGTAAGATTTCATAATTACTGTGTAATGGATGTTTCAAAACCCAAATGCATATGTGCATAAAATACAATGTGAAAAGAGTTATTTTGCATGAGATGGGCCCTTTAACAAATTAAACATGACTAATCATTATAAGCACAGCATAAACTAACAATACATGTAAGTACAATGTAATGTTACAATGAAGTTTACCTCTTCACGTTGTACCAGCTGCAGTGTCTTCTCCTTAAGTTGCTCAAAAACATCATATTTTAGAATCGTAATGTGAAACAGAGCTGTTAAATGCCCTACTGTGGAACATTCCAGGTAAAGCAATTACATCTCCATCTGATTAGAAGGCACAGAATTGATACTCTGTATTGACATCACTCTAGGGTGTTCTACATGTAGCTCTGTGGCAGAATGTTTAATAGTTACCATGCCCACATTAGGAAACACTGTCAAGAAATTTTTAAAATAGACTGGATGCATTTTTTGGAGCCTGGGATCAATGCGAGCGTTCATGGTCCTGTTTAGATGTTTGATTTTCAACAAAAAGTGAAAGTGACAAACTGAAAACGTGTTGGCTAATTTTATATGTGAGATACTTTTTTTAAGTGCACAAAGACATGTTTCTTTGATTGGCTAAGTACATAAACATTACAGTAACAGCGGAGTACAAGGAAAAGTTCGGCTTTTATCTACTGTTTAATTTACCGTACAAAGGATTTTCTTTCTTTTTTTTTTTTTCTTATTTTATTGCAGACCTGTCTGGAAAAATCTTGAACTTCTCTGAAAACCGTGCCAGAAGTATGGCGGTGAAGGTGATGGTGACACGGGACCAGTTGTCTGCCCTCACCGTCTGCCACAGGTCTGTATTTATGTGTATTCTTAGATTACACAGTGCATTAAAGAGGGGCTATTATAGGCTCTATTCACGCTTAAATCACAAACCAGGAAGATGTTTGGAAAGACGCAATCCTGTGATCAAACCTACTGAAGTAAATGTGATCAGCAGTAAAATGAAGACTGCATATGTATGTGCTGTTTGGAATCATCTGGAATTTGGCTCCTCATCTTTTCTAATCATATGTACCTAGTGCACTGGGAGTTCTGTGTTAGTGGAGAAATGATGAAAACTGAGGTATGGTTGTAAGTGCTGATAAGCTGAACAGAACAGAATGCTACAATAACATGGAGATGATGAAAACTGGACAATTTTCAAATTTTTCTTAGATTTAGTCAGACTTCCTACCATGGATCTATTAAAATAACTGGACAGAGTGTTGCTGTTTGTAGCTGCCTCCAGTTGACGTAGTGGCCACTGACTGGAACTTCAGCGGAAAAAATCCCCTGGGCTGAGACCGGATTTTTCTCATGTAATCACAAACTGCTCGTGTTTGTTAACAGGACACCTACAACTTTCAAAAATGTTGGATTTGTTGGCGATTTTTACCTATTTTTATATCATAAACTTTTTCTCAGCTCAAAATCCTTCAGTTGTCTTAAAAACACTCTTTATAATCGTTAGCTCCGGCTCTGCTCTAGCTCCTCTCGCTGTGATTGGTCAAAGTGATCATGTGATCCATGAGCCCCCGTGCGTTCACTTGTGTGCATTCGAGTGTGACTGTGGGAGAAAAGAGCACTGCTGAGCCAGGCTAGGCTAATCTGGAATCATGCACCTTTGAGCTGATGCGATGTGCAGTATTCATCAGCAGGATACACGTGTTGAGATAGAATAAAGAAGTAAAATACCTCCTTCTAATAATACTGTATATTTTGTGCTTTCAGATCCTTCACCGACTTGAAGCGATCGCACACTTTGTTTTCGATGACCACCCCCACAGATACTAGCGCTTTCAAAACCGAGTACGACATTAGCTCTCCCACTCAGTTTAAAGTGCGGGTGCGCGGTACTGTGGCTGGCTACACCAATGTCAACTACTCCCCAAACAAGTGGCACTCCATCTGCTCCACCTGGGACTCCAGCACTGGGGTGGTGCAGCTGTGGGTGGACGGACAAGCTCTGACCCGGAAGTACACAAAAGAGCTCCCCATCACCGGGCGACCCATCGTTGTCCTCGGACAGGTAAAGGGAAAGGACCATAACAAGGGGTGTTCTGATAACTGATATTATGCAGTTACTGTCGTCATTGAGGCTCTGTTAGACTTTAATCTGATCTTTATTTTAATGCAAACTGACCAGAAAGAGCTGATTTAGTTGGAACTACAACAGGTGAGATGATTTGCGCAGTTAAGCAAGTCGCTCACGCAGAAAATTATAGCTTTTCAGTCACTCTCACCTTTTGATGTGCTGTTTTTGTATTTTTCTTGAGTTTTCAGACCATCTTAAAACTCATTTGACAGCATTTGCTAATCTGTGCATTGGCTCCAGGGTAACTTCTGAACATTCTACCACAGATCCATGCAGACCACCTCCAGAATGATGTCACGGCAAAGTATCAGTAGGATTCAGTTCAAAGATTTTTAAACATGTCAAAAACTGATAAAAATTCTGAAATATGAACTGACAAACTAAAACAAGAATCATGTGTGTATTTTATACATCTTTCTAAAGATCTAAACTACAGGGTTTGCAGTTTTCATGTGGACAGACAGGAGATTTTATTGTTTGTGATTATGATACTTTTAAAAGGCAATCTTTGTGATTTGTTAATTGTATCCATTCAAACTGTGATTTCTATTTGGTTGTGGTTCATCTTGTAGCCCTGCACACTGCCCTGAGGCTGATCCCTGAAGCTGAGCAGGGTTTGACCTGGTTAGTAAGTGGATGGGAGACCACTGGGAATACCAGGTGCCACGGTGGGCCAGCTGTTAGAGAAACCACACTGTTTTAGGGGTGTAAAAGTATTGAACATTAGATGCTAATCAACACTAAAGCAGGTATTTAAAATAGATACTCATCTGGATCAAATTTGACCTTAAACACTCTTAAACAGTTTCATCTTGACTTTTATTTAAAAAAAGAGTAAAACCACATGGTTTACTAAAAAAAAATACAATACAATTTTGTACAAATGATAATTTGTGTATCAAAACTGATACTGAATATTGAGTCTATTCTTCAGTATCAAAACTGAAAACATTACACTGTTCTTCATATGTCCAGACCCTGCCCTCCTTCACTTTCCCCTGTAGTCCTTCAGCTACTGCCCAGTTTAACAGCTCCGTTTGATTGTTGATTGTGAATGTTAGAGGAGTTCAGGTGTTTAGTCCCATTTTAACGATGAACATCTTCCCCGACCCCACTGACACATGACCAGAGACAGTTGAATCAGCTGAATTTTGTGTGTATTTTTGGTCTTGTGTATCCTCTGTATTACCTTGTGTCCTCTCCCTTTTCACAGAACCCATCCAAACACGGAGATGCCTTCGTAAGCACTGACTTTTTCGTGGGGATGATGTCAGATGTTAACATGTGGGACTTTGTGCTGACTCCCTGTGAGATCCAGAGGTACATGAAGGACCTGAGCTACAGTCCAGGAAACGTCATCAACTGGAGAAACCTGGACTCACTGATCACCGGGAGAGTCTTCATCGAAAACAAACAGATCTGTAGACCCGAGGAGCTTTAAAGGTGCACTATGTATCTTCTTGGTTGGGGGTTCCTCACCTGCTTGTTTCCATGGATATGCCATTGCTCTGCCTGGAATGTTCCACAGTATGACATTAAACAGCTCTCCCTTACATTTATTTAATTGCGGGTGGTTTTATTGCTCCAAAATACTTAGAAATACAGGCATTCTGACTGTGAGTGGGGTCACCTCTCCACAGATCTGACTTTTAACTTGGTCTGGTTTGGTCTCCATGAAGATAGAAAGGTTTAATGCCATACTGTGAAACATTCCAGACAAAACAATAACATATCCATGAAGAAAAGCATTTGAAGGACCCTCCACCAGAAAAGTTACACACCTCATGTTACGTTATAATGTTGTTACCTCCTAAAAACATACTTGGGGTTGTATTTTGTTCCATTCACATGTTTGAGTAATCCTTTATTATTGGTCTGTCTACATTGCTAAAGCTCATAATGCTCCGCTCCACTTTGTGATGTCATGAATTACCTTTACCTTTAGTTCAGCAGAGATTGGATATTCCAAAACTGAAATTATCCAAATGATTCTAGAAGAAGTGGACTAAGTGAGTGTGACGTCACCCACAGCGTTCAGCTCCACGAAAATGAAACTCCCGATGCTAACAGTTACAGGAGCAAATCTGGAGTCAGGTGCCATATTTGGAAATCCCACTGCGAGTATCATAGCAACCACAAGAGCCAATCATGATTGAGGTCATTAAATGTGCCCGCCCTTCTCACCGGAAAGTGGGAAGGGGACTTACTTAGCAACGAAACACACTAGCTGTCAATCAAACCTGTTGCTAATGCTAGAGGGAGTGACCTCAGGGAATGAAGGCGTCTGATTGGTCCGTTATTTATGTTCATATCTTGAATTAGGGACAAAATACTGAAATGAAAAAATAAGAATCACGTAAAGCAGGTTAATACAAATATTTTAAGACCAAAACGATAAGACTCACTGCAGCCGTTACAGAGAGAGGAGCCACAAGATCCAGTGTAAGTCAACTGGAGCCAGGGTCAGAAGGAGCCAGAAGAGCCGCCTGGAGCACTTCCTATTTGGAACTTGGAGGCTAGTGCATTAGGTATGTCCATTCATACATACAGTCTATGGTTTGGAGTTTAAAAACACAGTGGAGCACATGACATCACAAAGTGGAACAGAGTGTTTTTTGTTTTTTTTTTAATCTGTGAGGAGAACGCAGCCTAAATATGGAGCGTTTCTGTATTAAACATGTGTGAATGAAACAAAACACAACTCCAGGTCTGTCTGTGATGAGGAAACATTATAACATAGATCAAAAAATAACATAACATGGACCCTTTAACCATAACTGACATATACTGATGTCACTGTATGCACTGTAATAACAAACTGTCATGTTTCTATAATACATGCATCCTGAATTTCAGACTTCCAGTCATCGACCAATTCATACTGGAAAGGATCCTCCGAAAAAGTGAGCATCAAACCGCCATGTTTGTTTTCCCAGTGGGATCCGTCTATTATCAAAGCTGATCTTTTCTAGTCTTTTGAACCATATCACATTTGTTTCTGGTTCTGATATTGTCATATTTTAGTTATGGGATTCGGACATCGTAATGCTGTGGTTGTTGGATGTCCTAACAGCGGAAAACAGGCTTCGGAAGTTTGTGAACTCTATAAATGCAAAAGGGAATCAGATCTGTGTGACTGCAAACCTCTGTGTTTCCCTTCCCAACGGAATTGAAAGATAGAGAAAGGTGAAGGCGATGGGCAGTATTGATCCACAGGAAGGATGAAAAAGGAAACGTTTGACAGCCTAAGAAATCATCCAGAGTTTGCAGCGAACATTTTGTATGTGGAACGCCAACAAAGCAAAATCCCATTTGTTAAGCAAGAAGTACAGATGACAAACAGGCTGAGCTTGCACGTTCTTGTTCAACTGACTTTACAGCAACATCACGTCTTGGTCGCTTTGCAGTGGAACGTGTTGCCTTTTGCTGGTGTTGCCTTTCAGCTGGTGCCTTTCATTTGGCATTGACTTTTTATATTTGTAGCATTCGAAGTTTGAATTCAAAGGTTGAGTGAGGGATCAGGATTTAGTTTTGTTGGTGCTCCACATACAAAATGTTCGCTGCAAACTCGGGATGATTTCTTAGGCAGCCAAAGGTTTCCTTTTTGGTCCTTCCTGTGGATCAATGCTGCCCTTCGCCTTTCACTATTTTTCAATTCCGTTGGGAAGGGAAACAGTTTGAATGGAGGTTTGCAGTCACACACATCTGATTCCCTTTTGCAGTTATGGAGTTCGCAAACTTCTGAAGCCCGTTTTCCGCTGTTAGGACATCCAACAACCACACAATGTACGAATCCCAAAACTAAAATATGACAACATCAGAACCAGAAAGAAAAGTGATATGGTTCAAAAGACTTGAAAAGATCGGCTTTGACAATAGACGCAATCCCGCTGGGAAAACAAACATGGCGGTTTGATGCTCACTTTTTTGGAGGATCCTTCCCAGAATGCACTGCGCAATGACCAGAAGTCCGAAATTCAGGATGCAGGTACTGAGTTCAGCTGAAGCTAACTAGAGGTACTGCTCTGTCTTCAGCTCTGTTATTCAAGGTAGACTTTATTATTATAATACTTATAATACTTGTTTGTTTTAATCTGACCAGAAAGAACTGACTTACTTGGAACTACAGTTGAGCTGATTTATACTGTTAAACTAATTCTTTACATTTATTTGACAACAGTTTTTCAGTTAGTTTCTCTCATCTTTTTGGTTAAAATAAAAAAAAAATCTTAAAACTTATCAGGCTGTGTTTGCTAATGGAAAAGCAGAAGTAAACATCAAGGCCAAAAATTCAAGTTAATGCATCTGATATAAAATGTATTGAACAGATACATATGTACTCTAGTTTATGAAACTGTTGACCTTTTTTCTGTACCATTTTTGGTTCTAAAGTTCCATATGTTTTAAACAGACCATGTATGAAACATGGAACAAAAATTATTTCCCAAATTTCAAAGACCTGCAAATCATGTAAATAAATGGATGTATTTCATCATATCTTGTGTTATTCCATCTTTGAACTGTTGATGAAAGTACATGATTTTTCAAAAAAAAAAAAAAAAAAAGTATTTAAAATGATAAAAATTTGCTTGGAAGGACTGACATATTTTATAGAAATAGTTTCCTTTCATTTTGAAGTAATATTAAAGTATTCAGAAGAAAAAGCGACAAATGCTGTAAAATCCTGCACCTTCTACTTGATTGAACAATTTTCCCTCCGTTACTTTTCCCTCCGTTACCATGACCTTTCTTCATAAAAAATCTCATGAGTCAAAAAGTCTGAGGTTTTTCAACCTAATCTTGTACCATATGGTAGAAAACTATATGAAGCAAATATTCAAACCAGTTTGTTAAGGATATGGAAGTGAGAACCAAGAGTTATCACTGTTTGGATTTATTGCCCAAAAAAGTGCTGCATATTTCATTCCCTCTGTTACCGACATGAGTTTTTAAATTTTTTGTCAACAACTTGAAAGAATATCACAGGTTTAACTTGACCCTGTTGGAGTGTAACTCTTTCCTACATTCTGATACTTTACTTATTTCAATAGTCCCTCTAGTTTCTGAATAAGAGACATTTGAATGTCAAAAATCTGATCCTGTTTCCCTCCGTTACCACTTGACCTAATGTGCGCAATATGTCACCATGGTAACTGCTGAACATTCTGCCGTAGACATAGACGCATTATCCCCCAGTGTGACGTCATTGCAAAGTATCAGTAGCTTAAAATGGAGCTTGAGGACAGATCAGAATTCTGGGATGAAAGTTTCTAACTGTCAGAAAGTCATATTTCTGTATTTTTATCATAAAGTTATAAAACATGTTCAGAGGTTCAGTAGTGATTTAAAAAGTCAGAATTAATTAAAGTATTCAAATTTCACATAACTTGTTTTCTTTTCTCACCCATTGTCTTAAAAGCATCAAACCTAAAAAAAACAATATTACTAATTTGCTTGAAATGCCCCACAGTATGGCATTAAACAACCTTGCATTTATTCAATTCAGTTCATTGCAAGAAAATAAAATTAAATAAAAACTTTGCAGTGCATTTTCTCCATGGAGATAGATAGGCTTAATGTCATACTGTGAAACATACTATACAAAGCATCAGTAAAGCGACACAGTGCACCTTTAAAATGGTCGTCTTGGTTACATATGTCATCTTTTCAAACACATCTGGCGAGAACTAAACCCTTTTCTATGGATACACGGCAATATCTGGCAATCACAAGTTGTGATGTAACTACTTAATGTGGGGAAGAAGGTCCCAGATTACACAACAGGGAAAGAAAAAACACATTTCAAGAGCCAAAACCGCACTTACTCTTCAAACAAGCTGCACGACACAACCACTCAAGGTAAGTCTTTCTAAGGAGGAAATATTAAGTGTTTTATCAGATGAAATTGAGGAAATGTGTATTATAATCAGAGGTGGGTAGATTAGACTAAAACTGTATTTACTTAACTTGACTTCAATCCAATCAAACTTTATTTCTAAAGCACTTTAAAAACAATACAGTTGACCAAAGTGGAGTACACAACAATAAATATAAAAGGAAATAAAATAGACAGATTACAAAAAAACGTAGACATGTAAAAACACACATATGACGCTAAAAAGTCAGCGTTAATCACAGTGTAATAGTAGATGGTTTAAAGGCTGGTTTAAAAAAAAAAAAAAGTGATGCAGCTTGCCAATACATTCCACAATTTTGAACCCATGACATAGAAGGAGCGGTCCCCTCGAGGTTTTCTCTTGGCTTTTGGGACCACGAGTAAAAGAATGATCTGCTGACCTGTGAGTGTGCAGAGGCATAGCGCTGGAGCATTAAAATAATATTACTCAAGTACAAAGTAGTGGTCTAAGAAATTAGGTAAAATAGTATTTGGGAAAACTACTATTAAGGTAAGAGTAACTTTAAGATTAACTGTCGTGAGGTAATATCTGATTTATAATGTGAAGTTATTGTAATTTGAAGCAAAACATTAAATGATTCACCATATCTGGTACTTTCAAATGACAGACACAAATGAGAAAAACTAAATCATATTTGAAGGAGCTGTGCAAAAAAGAATAATTTTATATTGTCAACATAAAGCTTTTGTCATTTGTAGACTTAGTCACACTTGTTACTTTATTAAGCAGGAGTAAAAGTGCAGTTTCTTTAAAAAGTTACTCATTTAAATATAACTGGCCTCTGATTATATAATGCTACAGTATAAAATGTTCTTTTTCTTTAAATTGAAACAGATGAGAAGTTGGGTTTTCTTTATGATGCTGGTCTCAGTTGCAGCTGAAACTGAAGGTAAGATGGTATTTTATTATTATATATTTTTTTAATATAGCAGATACAATTATAGCCATAAAACGCATGGAATTTAATACATACCAGATAGAAAGCTAAATGTAATGCCATACTGTGGAATATTTCATAACAGATAAATAGATAGATACTTTTTTTATGCCAAAGAAAATTCATTAACATTTCCATGGAGACAGTGCACAAGTGCATAGTGGAATTTGCATAAGTGAGCAGGAAAAAAAGAAATATTTTCTGTATAAATAATATAAATTTATTTTCATGAAATACAAACTCAGATGCAATCTGTTTCTTTTGTTTTTTTGTTTTTGTTTGTTTTTTAACTTTAAATGATAATTATGTACAGTGGTTGACTCTGGATAGCATCTGTCTGGTTCCCTGATAGAGCTATTATTTCAGTTTTAGTAAGTCTTTATTAATACATTTTCAGTCTCTTAAGATCATGAACTCCTATAAACAGGTCTATACTTTGCAGCTGATGTCATCAACATTCCCTGTGGGTGTGATGCTAAATGAAGGCACTGTTCAAAACACAATAAACTTTAAAACATGTATCCATAGTATTTCATTTTTCTGAAGAATTTTTATTTTATTTTTTATTTTTTCCAGACCTACTTGGAAAGATGTTCACTTTCCCAGAAGACTCATCCTCAGCTCATGTGAAGCTGTTGATGTCATACAGGAACTTCAGCGCTCTCACAGTCTGCCACAGGTCTGTTTGACCTGGTTTTGTCTTTCAAATGTTATGATAGTATTATTGTTTACACTCAATGATGAGAGACAAATCTTTGGGATCTGTTCAAATGGCCATTTGTTATTGATTCATGGGCAAATAAAAATCCTCATAACATGTTAACCAAGAACCATAGACACATAGAGAAGGATCCAGGCTAAGATTTGATTACAAGTACAAACTTGGGGCTGGGGTTGATCCTCTGAAATTAAAAATAAAAAAACAATAATAATCCATGTCATTAATATAGTGCATTTTGGACCACTGAAATGGCACATTAAAATGCATTATTCATTCACTCCACTGTTGTGTTGTTGTGTAAGATACTATTGCAGACTACTGTAGACTATTATAGATTATTGTAGACTACTGTAGACTATTATAGATTATTGTAGATTATTGGAGACTAGACTATTGTAGACTACTGTAGACTATTATAGATTATTGCAGACTACTGTAGACTATTGTAGACTACTGTAGACTATTATAGATTATTGTAGACTACTGTAGACTATTGTAGACTACTGTAGACTATTGTAGACTACTGTAGACTATTATAGATTATTGAAGGCTATTGGAGACTGTATTGTAGACTATTGCAGATTGACAAAAGTGAGGATTTCATTCTGCACCACTGGCCCCTCTGACCACCACAACATCACTCTCATACATCACATTCACACTAGGAAAGTTGGGGGAAGTGCAAAAAACATGACAACAGCGTGTGTGTGTGGCTGGAACAGATCCTCTGACCTTTATGTTAGTGGGCAGGTGCTCTAAGCACTAAACCACTAAACCACTGCAGCTCCTTTGTGCTTCTATCAAAGCTACTAAGCCTCTGGCATCAGAAGAGACACTGGCATCCTCTGTTGTTTTTCCCTCACAGATCTTTCACTGACCTCACAAGATCTCATGCCTTCTTCTCGCTGTTCACATCTTCTGCTGAAGATTTCTTCCTGGTTCATTATCATGGTAAGACCCAGCAGATGATGGTACACATCGGCAATACCAGTGTGGGTTATAGTGGACTAGACTACGCCCCAAACAAATGGCACTCCCTGTGCACCACCTGGGACTCCAGCTCAGGTCTGGTGCAGCTGTGGTTCAACGGACAACGTCTGAGCAAGAAATACATCTTTGAGACAATCATTAGATCATCCATCTTCATCTTGGGACAGGTAATATGCTGAAGTATAGGCCTCTTACTGTTACAAAAACGCCCAAAATGAATGTCTAATTACTGTAATAATCTGTTATTGTTTTAAATGTCCTTGAATATAACTACACCTTTGTAAAAATTTAACATTACCACACAATAAGTAGTTTATCATTAGTGAGCAAAATATTTTTTACAGCACAAAGTAAGTGGCTTTGGTATCTTCAGACTGAATTTCTCCATGAGGAAGGAGAAAGTGTTTTTCTTTCATCAGTCTCACAACAGAGTGATGTGTGTCACTCTGACTTGACTTGTGCACATGATCATTCTGGAAGAGCTCTCACTGAAAGCCTTTGGTAAAATGTAGAACTTTATGATGACCATTTGAATCTGATTAGTCGAAGCTTCACAACAGCAGAACAAGAAAAATCAAACTTTTGCTACATCCAGTTGAAAGAAAAGCATAGACATCTTCCCCATTCACAAATGCAGAAAGTGCTTCCCTCTGCACATTTTTCAGAAAAAAAAGTCTTCTGTATATCTGTATTCTGTAGTTTGGGACCAACCACAGAAAAGATTCAGTCACCCGGCTTTTAAGTCTCATTTTTTGGACAAGTTGGAACTGACCCTGAGAGCGAGCGAAGGAGTGTAGGATCACTGAGATCTGAGACTCACGTTGTGACCAGAACATGAAGTGCTTCAAAAACAAACAATGCCATTGTGTTAAAGAGGGGCTATTATGCAGAATCAGCCATGTTATAATGTTGTATAGAGGTTTTTGTATGTCATCTTTGTATGTTTGAGTAATGTAGTGATCTCTTTGGGGCCCTATTCGACCCATCTTAGCCTACGTCATCTATGCTCCTGCATGACAATTTTCCATTAATATACAAGAATGTCGTGGTGTGCTTTGGCCTTAATACTCCTCTTTCAGAACGACAATCCAAAGAGTGTTGCTTACATTTTGTACCATATGCTGTGTTTACAGGGAGAGGCCCGTGATGGCAGAGAGTCTTTCACGGGGATGATGTCAGATTTTCAGGTGTGGGATTATGCACTGTCTCTCTGTGAGATCCAGAGATACAATTCGAACCCGTCTGACACTTCAGGAAATGTCATCGACTGGAGAGAGCTGGACTTTGAGATCATCGGGAGAGTCCTCGTCGAATTCACAAACGCGTGTTAGCTGGCTCAGTCAACATGGTTAATCACAAATGTCAAATGAGTCAATGTACTCTACCAGGAAATCATAAATGCAGATTTACTAAAGGCCATGTTTAAATGCTAATACCAATACAAATAATGCATGATATTTGTTCTATGACACTTTTCTATCCTTAAAGTGCACGTGACAGGTCAGACTACTCATTTCTCAAAAACACACTTAACATGACTTATATTAGACTTGTAAGATTTTCTACTTTAGTCATTTTGGTGAAGTTTATCATTTTACTTGCTGGTTAGAGGTATGTTACCTAGCAACTATAATGTTCAAGGTGCACTATGTAACTTATAAAGTGGAGAGTCTCCTGTTTGCTTGTCTTTGTGGTTATGTATTTATTTTTTATTTTTTTTTGCAATGTTCCACAGAATGGCATTAAACATATTTGCATTACATGTGTTTTGTAACTCAAAAAACATATGTGCAGGCTTGCTTCTCCATAGATCTGACCAGTAACCATTGCATTTCCATAATATGATAACCAAGTTTATTTCCATACTGTGAAATAATCAAGGCAAAAGAGCAATATCTCCAAGGGGACAAGCAGACCCTCCGTCAGGAAAGTTGCACAGTACACCTTTAAGGGCCAAAAGTGTCTAAATTACACAACACAACATGGATTAACAAATACAAATAAATACCAACGCATTTATTTTGTTGAACGGTTTAAACTATCAAAAGTTGTGTGTAAAGAACTCACCCCTACTTCCTGTATTTTACAACTTCATTTCTTCACACATTGCTTTGAGCACAAAAATAAACAAATTAGAGAAAAAAACATTTAATAAGGAATTATCATTTGTATTATGTAATTTAATTTTGAGATAGGAAGCTCGATAACCCTTTGTATAGCTTCAGAAACGGTGGAATCTTCCAGTGCGGTGTCTTTGTGAGTTAACATCATCAGCAAACAACTGTCTCACTGCCCATTAACTGTGCACAGGAACAATGTGACGGGAAGAGAAAACTCAAAATGAATTGTAGAGTAAAAGACATAGAGGGGGCCAGTGGTGACAGGAGGGAGATAAGGAAAGCATTTATAGAAAGTGTCTACTCAGCACTGCCACAAACCAGTTAAAACAGAGATGGAGATGGAGAGATAATCCTCCTTTATGATGGAACGAAGGTAAAGCAGAGAAGTGCCAGTTTGAAAGACAGTTTAAAGGCACTCGTGGTCAGATTTTATGTAACAGTCACTAATCAGAAAAAAAGACTGTTGCCAATAAGAAAGGTAATATTGACTGATGGATTTTGCAGTGACATCATAAGGGGGGTGTTCTGCATGTATGTGCAATGGCAGAATGTTGACCAATTACCATGACTAGACACAATGCAAACACTATTAAAAAATTTAAGATCGTCTGACAATTTAAACAACACATTTTATGAGCTTTTATGAGACTTGTTAAAGAGCACAAATCACCTCAGCTTTTGCAGTTCCAGCTAAATCCGCTCTTTATGGTCAGATTGTGTTGATATAAGGAACAGATTAAAGTCTAACTTGAGTAACAGCGCTTCAGACAAAGCAGTGTCTACAGTTGGCACGCACAAAGACCACAGAAGCGGTGTGAATATGTTTACTTACAAAAGAAAGTTTAGTTTAGTCCCACTTTAAAGGGCTTCTATTCAATATTTGTCCATGTATATGAGCAAAATGTATCTTGCCCCTGTACAGATATACTGCTTTGTATAAGCAGCTCCTGAGGTCAGTACAAGTGTGCTGTGGTTTGTCTACATTTAATTAGAAAGTGTTTTATTTTCTAAGAATGTGTATGTTCATATATTAGCTGTAGCTCTGAATAAGATAAGATAAGATATGCCTTTATTAGTCCCACAGTGGGGAAATTCCAGTGTTTCAACGCGCAATTCAAGAACAGCAGGAAAAAGGTAACATGCAATAAAACAAGTAATAAATAATGTCTTAAAAATTAGACTTAAAAATTACTGCACATAGATATAGTTGACTGGCACATGTTCAGTGTTACAGTTTTTGTTGTAAAGTCTGACAGTAGCAGGAAGGAAAGATCTGTGAAACCTCCTTCACACAGCGAGGGTGAATCAGTCTGTCACTGAAGCTGCTCTCCAGAGCAGACAGAGCGTCCTGCAGGGGGCGACACTCATGGCCCAGCATAGAGATGACCTTAGCCAGGACCCTCCTGTCCCCCACCTCCTGCACTGAGTCCAGAGGACAGCCCAGGACAGAGCTGGACTTCTTGAGGACCTTGTCCAGCTTCTTCTTCTCCCTCTCTGTGATGCTGCTGCTCCAGCAGACCACACCGTACAGGATGGCTGATGCCACCACAGAGTGGTGCTTAAAATAAGTGAGGAATAACTTTGGACCACTGCCAATCATTTAAAGGTAAGTCCAGAATTTTGGACATAGGACCTCATTTCCTAGTGAGCCAGAGTGTTGGAGACGTGTGGAGATCGCTGGTGCTAGGCTAGTGCATGTTAATGGCCATACTTATCCTGCCACTAAAAACAGTCTTACCCACTTCACAAAACAGCCGAAGAAAATCAGTTATTACACCAGACATGTAAATGTCTGTGTTGATAGAATAATGTTTGAAATAAAACTAACCTTGCATCACATGAATCGTCGCATGTTGAGGGACTATTTTCTCAGCAGCAGTGGAATTTTTAGTATAAGACAGGTGATATCAGTCCACCGCTGTCAAACTTTCTATCAGGAAGTACAACTCGCTTCTGCTGCTCAGACATAAATCCTTCAGATGCAAGCTTGGTTTTACTTCTAAAATTATTATATTAACACAGATATTTACATCAACAGTCTGGTGTAATAATAGATTTGCTTCGGGTGTTTTGTGGAGTGGGTATGTTATAGTTGTTTCCCGTTCCCATTTACTCACCAAGAGCTGTTCAAGATGCCATTTTGTCAGTCAACCCCCATTTACACCATCAAACACTGTACTTACTTAGCCTGATTCTGACCTCGCAGCATTAGAATTTGTTTGCTTGACGGTATGCAGGTACTTTTTATCTAACCAATCGCTGCTATTTGGTCGTGATATATGTAATGCGCCGCTAACAGAGGTAACTGGTACATTAAGCTGTTCTCAAATCCCCTTAGAAGAAGGGCAATAACATCTTTCTCCTTGATAAAATTCACCAAACATTCTCTTTATTCCAGCTTTAAATCCTCGATCTCAAGAATCATTGCCAAATGAGAATATATGGCTCTTTGCTGATTGGCTGGTGCCCGGACTCACACTTCCGTGGTTCTTGCAAACCGTCTAGTGCATTCCGATTCCTGACCTAGTCGCTGAAGAGAAATTAAATTGAGTGGTGGCACTAGGTGTCGCTAGCCTGGTAAGTACTTACTTACTTAATTTGATTTTCTTAATCAGTGATATGCATAATCATTTAGGTACAAATGAAGGAAAATCTACGGAAGCCGAGAGGGGTCACAACAAATGCAAATGCCGCAACAAATACAAATGCGACAACACAACAAAAAGCCACAACAAACCAAAAAAAGCCACAACGGAAATGACCACGGGACTCTATTTTAATACAAACACCATAACAAATACAAATGCCACAACACAAATGCAAATGCTGCAACACATTAAAAAGCCATAACACATCAAAAAGTCACAACGGAAGTGACCGCAGGACTCTATTTTCCGACGGACAGATCAAGCAGCAAGTGAAGAGAAGAACTACAACGTGAAACAAATAATGATAAAACAATAAATTACTTTTACTTACATTCCCAACTTCTCCGTTCCTTTACTTTTCACGTTGTAATTCTTCTTCTTCACTTGCCGCTTGATCAGTCCCGCGGTCACTTCCGTTGTGGCTTTTTGATGTGTTGTGGCTTTTTAATATGTTACGGCATTTACGTTGGTGTTGTGGCGTTTGTATTTGTTGCAGCGTTTGCATTAAAATAGAGTCCCGCGGTCATTTCCGTTGTGGCTTTTTTTTTGGTGTGTTTTGGCTTTTTGTTGTGTTGTCGCATTTGTATTTGTTGCGGTGTTTGCCTTTGTTGTGACCCCTCTCGGCTTCCGTAAAAATCAGCTACTTGCTTAAGTGATCAGCAGCTGTCCATCGATGGGACCAGCAACTTTACGGCTCTTTGTTGTGATGACGTTACCAGCGACGTCAGCTCCCACTGGGCATCGCAGTTTTCTTACGTGGAAATCAGAGGACATGTGTGACTTTAAACAGCTCGGCCTTACATTTATTCAATTACGGTGTTACTGCTCAAAAAAACCTAGAAAAACAGGCATTCTGACTATGAGCGGGGTCACCGCTCCATAGATCTGATCTGCAATTTGGTCTGGTTTGGTCTCGGTGAAGATAGAAAAGTTTAATACCATACTGTGAAACATTCCAGACAGCAATAACATCTCCATGAAGAAAAGCATTTAATAGACTCTCCAAGGAAAAAAGTTACGCAATGCACCTTTAAAGATTATTAAATTACACCCAAAGTTCTCTGCTGGCTCCGCTCTTACACCTATAGTTTGGGAGCTTTGATGACACTTAAAGAGGCTAAAGTCCTGATTTATCACCATTCTACGTCTCCTAATTACAGGTCTTCTTCAGCAGAAATCAAACAGAAACAATTAGACTCAGGCCTGTTTTAAGTGCTCCATTTGGCTAACGAATGGTCTGCTCGTCCAAACTCCAAACTCCCCTTAAAGTTTAACACAAGCCATTAATTGGGCCGGAGTGAAGGAAATTAATTTGCACAAAGGGAGGGCAAGGGTAAAAGCTGAAGTTATTACTCTAAATAAGTTTGTGAAAGTTGACAACCAAGCAGAAAGAAGACTGTGTGTGGATCAAGGACAGTTTAAAGATATACATTGTAACTTTTCTAGTGGGGGAGATGCTATTGCTTAGCTTAGAACAGGGGTGTCAAACATACGGCCCGGGGGCTGGATCCGGCCCTCTAAGACCTTTAATCTGGCTCTCACCTGATTTTCTACTAAAATATT